CGCGTCGTAGGAGCGCTCTACGAGCCACAAACAACTCTTGGTATAGTTTGTTTCGTGTAGTGTTACTCACGCCGCTAACCTCCAAGATGTGATATCGAATATCCGGCAGAAAATGCTGCAAATTCATGCAAGCGTCTTGGAGACACTGCACACTTGTTGGGCGCCATGCGGGTCTTTTTTCGACCAAGAATCCGAGTCGGGAGCGACGATAGGAGCCGCGTGCGACGATAATCAGCAATAAATGGATAATATTTAAATGTTTTTTTACATGGTCAAACGCGCCTCTTCTTTTGTAAAACGCGGTGTTGCGGCTTTGCGGAGGTGGGGCCGATGGCGAGACGAGCTGGCGCGTTCTGGCTTGCTCGCATCGATTTGTTGTTGCACGCCCATGATTTACATTGAATAAACACAAAAGAAGGTCAAAACACTGACAAATGGATGCGCAAAAATCACGAAAGAATTCCCACAGATCGCCAATGAGCCGTCACGATTTTACGGCCAGGAATCAAATTTATGGGTCAAGGAATCACGCGTGCATTCATAAATCACGAATAAAACAAACAAATCGCAAAATACTAAACGACGACGAATTGGGGCCTGTATACCCGCGATTACGTGCCGTTTTGCATCTGCAAACCTCGAGGCGTCTCCGTGTCGAGCCAGCTATTTGTTTGCATTTGATTTGCCATTTTATGTATTTATCGCCTTTTTTACGCGTCGTAGGAGCGCTCTACGAGCCACAAACAACTCTTGGTATAGTCTGTAATATGTGTTCTGTTGGTTATTTCTTACGTTTTGACGTGTTTCTATGGTGCGCTGCACTTGTCACATTTAGAATGGTTGGTTCACGATAGTTGTGTCTATTTGCATGATGAGGTCATCCCAGGGCTGAGAATGATGACGGTGTATGAAATGTCGAGTACGTTAACAACGAGGCACCTATTTCGGTTCAGTTGGAATGTTGGAGTATAGAGTATGGTTCAAGAAAGTGCATGTACCTGCTTGTTCGCGCTCCACATCTTGGACTCTTTTGCGTGGTTGGCATTTGATGATCTGAGTACATCTGAGATATTCCAACACGTAAAGCGTTTTTATACCCAACATGCTCCCCAAAAGGCGAAGAATTTGAGGGACGGCTGAAGCACCAGCTGACATAGGCTGTACCGCTCTGATCTTTTGTGCAGCTCTACTCCCTCACCTTCAACTCGACTTATCTTCTTACAATGTGGAATGTGCTCAGCGCGTCAACACTATATGCGGGCGGTGCAGCGAGGCTTTCTACGGCGCTGCAAAATTTCGATTGTAGGGTGCCATCTGCTGCGTCCAGCACGGTGCTGCAAACGAGCTCCCATCGAGATGCACCATTTCCATCGACGCCTACGCTGGTGCAACGAGAGCTGTGTACGACAATAAATTGGACCGCACGTGACAATTCCTGTTCAAAAGTTGTGCTCATAGCTCATCCCCAACTCCTCGATCCTGCTGATTAGTCGTCTCGCCATGCGACCTAGAGTGCTTAGTGCCTAGCTTCTGCAACGCACAACGAACTTTTATTTCTCTCCTTGACTGTAGTGCTCTAGCCCACCTAGGTAGGTGCAATCCTCGACGTTGGTGAGGAGACAGAAAACGTCCGGGATGACTATGCAGCGAGCGCCTTGACCTGTTCTTCGAGCGGTGTCTTCTTGTAGCCGGTCACGGGGGTCCCGACCTCAACGCCGCCGTTGAAGAAGCGGAAGGTCGGCAGCACCTGCACGTCGAGTGCAGCTTTGATGTCTTGGACGCCCTCTTCGCCCGTGTTCATCTTGACAAAGGCCTACACGAATATGAGCCTACGCTGCGACATCTTGGAGAGATGCGTTACCACGTTGGGATAGTCCTCGGCGAGGATCTCGACAAAGCCAGAGATCTGCCGGCACTTGCCGCACCACGGCGCCCAAAAGTCGCCGACGACTGGCTGGCCCGTCGCGACGATCGCGTCCCACTCGACCTTGGTGCTGACGTTGTACATGCCTTCTTCGTCCTTGGTGAAGCCAGCGAGCGAGAAGGCGCGCGGCAGCAGGCGCCGCGTCGCCGCCATCGACGTCATCGCCAGAGTCGACCGCGCCAGCATCGTCGCGTCCGAGAGGCCGAAAATGCCTGGACATTGCACTTGGCTGCGTATCCGGATTATCCGGATACAAGGCCACTGGGCTCGTGGAAGGGCGCCGAAGATCGCGGGCCGTGCGTCGGTCGCGCGATGACGATGTAATAACGTTATGCATTGGTGTATTGCGCCATGCAACTCGATGCGTGGCGCTAGAAGCTAATAGTATCGGCGCGAACGTGCAGGAAAACCATAGTATTAAAGAAGAGCGGTGGTCCATGGTACAGATCGAGCTCGAGGCAAGATACATGCGCGCATATGTCTAGAAGAGTGGCAGTTGCAGCAGCAGCATGGCATTGTTAGCACGCGAAATGCGTCGATCGTAAATGCACGGCTCTCTCGTTGGCCTTCTGCGTCTCGAGCTACCGGTACCATTAAAGCGCCCAGTGCCATCAACGCATGACTGACGCCCACGTTTCATCGCTTGCAGCCATACTGACGATAGTCACGTTTCGAAGAGTTTATCGTCATTGCTTCGATTATATAATAGCATTGAAAGAGCTGGGTATCATTGCTGGAAGGAATATGCAACGTGGAGCGTGAGAGATACCAGCGTACCCATACGTTGGCCCAATAGCGCTACGTAATGGAGCATCGACACAGAGTTTCTGCGCAATCGAGCTGCATGCGCAGGAGCGAGCATGGTGGCTGGTCCTCTCCAGGCCAAAATCAAGGTCGTGGTCCGACTTGGCGCGCTTTTTATTTTTCACATTTTCCACACGCTCTCGATTTTCACACACACTGTGCGCGGAACGTGCGGATCGGATCCATGTTGCCGTGGCGCGTGCTCATTGGCGAAAAAGCGTCTTATTTCGAAGGCTTCCCGTAAGTGCGACACAGGATATCGCGCCTTGTTAGCATCGCCTCCGATCCCATCAAAACGATTGTGATTGGCCTTAAGAAGTGTAAAATACAGCGTTGGGGACGTGGATTGGTTGAAATGCGAGCGCACTTACTGGAGAGCGCACTTTCGCCGCCTCAGTCGTCGCCACGTCAACTTCCATCCGACCGACGATGGTGTATGGGCATCCCAATGGCGTCAACTGCGTGAAGGGCGAGATCCACAACGTGCTCAGTGTCATGCGCGTCAATGCGCGCTGGGCGTCTACCTCGCGCTTCAAGCGAGAGATCCCGACGCACACGCAGAGCCCGCTCTTGCGCCGCTTCAAGGAGCTCCACGTGCAGCTCGAGGGCGTCATGGACCTTGGCGACGTCGACACGCTCAACGTCCTCGAGCCCTTTGTGCACGTCATCGAGAGCGAGAAGACGAGCGGCATCATCACGGGTGCGGCCGTCTCGAGCCTCAACAAGTTTCTGCTCTACGGCCTCATTCCGCCGGACGGGCTGCGCGCCACCGAGGCCATCAACCGCATCGCGCTCTGCGTCTCGCGCTGCCGCTTTGAAGAAACGCACCGCGACGTCGACGAGATGGTGCTCATGAAGCTCATGGAGCTCCTCGAGTGCTGCGTGCGCTGCGAGGCCGGCCGCCTCATCTCGGGCGACAACATTTGGAAGATGGTCCACACGTGCTACAGCATTAGCTGCCAGGTACGTCTTCGCCACCTCGTATACAATGCTCATGGCGTTGTAGCCGCGCGCTTCGATGCATCTCTGCCATACGGCCGAGAACACGCTGGCGCATGTGATTTTGACCGTCTTTGATCGCATTGCCGACATGGACCCGATCGTTTTGGGCGCCGACGAAGATGACAATGAGCGCGAGGTAGACGCATGTCTCTTGCAAGCGATGGCGCAAAAGGTATCTTGTAGGATAATGAGAGCGAGGTCGTTGTGCCCTATGGCATCCCGGTCCTCGAGCAGCTTCTTACGTTTCTCAGCGACCTCATCAAGCCCAAGGAGAAGGAAGACACGACGGTCCTCGGCCTGAGCTTGATCAACCTCGTGCTCGAGACGGCGGGCACAGGCCTCGGAGCGCACCCGTGTCTCGTGCACGTCCTCCAGGGCAATCTCTCCAAGTACCTGCTTCAAAACTCCGAGACGACCGAACTCCACGTACGGTGTACCATTTGTATCAAGGTATCAAGCAGGGGTAGGTGTTGAGTTTAACGCTGCGCGTGGTGTTTAACCTCTTCAACTCGATCAAGGACCATCTCAAGGTGCAGCTCGAGGTCTTTTTACAAGCGTCCACATGCGCATCATCGACAGTCCGTCGTGCTCGGACGAGCAAAAGGTTTGATTGCTAGAAACACTACGCCTCTGCATCATTTATTACCTTGGCGTAGGAGCTCGCCCTTGAAAGTCTGCTCGAGTTTTGCCGCGAACCGGCGCTCATGCTCGACTTGTACATCAACTATGACTGCGACGTGCACTGCACCAACCTCTTTGAAGTGCTCTGCAAGGCCCTCGCGCGCAACACCCAAGTGACAGCCTTCGCGCCCGACGTGCCGCCAGTGTTTAACATTCTCAACCTCCTCGCCTTGGAAGGGTGCGTCGATCTATTTGAAAAGAATGCAATCGCATGCTTCTTGCTAGGCTCCTGGCGGTCCTCGAGTCCATTGCGCGTCGATGCCCGCTCGGCGGTGCGTCATCCATGGCCGACGTCACGGGCTACGGCCTCGCGCAGATCCTCGACGGACCGATCCCGTCGTCGTCGTCGCTGCCGGTGCGTCTTTTGTGTACCTTGTTCGTAGCGAGAGAGTCTTGTGCTAGACGATTTCGCCCATGAGTTCGATCCGAGAGGTCATGCAGATGGTCATGTCGGACACCGAGTCGGAGACGGACGTCCACCTTGGCGGGTCGCCCAACGACCAGCTCGCGTGGCTCCACACGGCGCGCGAGCGCACGGCCGAAGTCCTCCAGCAACGTACTACACTACCACAACGAGATAGATCGTCGGGTCTATCGAGAGGTCGCGTAGGCAAGCAGAGCAAGAAGCGCTACAGTTTGGCCGCCGACAAGTTTCACAACGAGCCGAAAAACTGGGTCGCGTACGCGCAGCAACTCGGGCTCTTGCCGAATCCCGTGACGGCCGAGTCGGTCGCTGCCTTCTTCCACACGACACCTGGTACATTATCGACGACTTGCTGGCCTTTCTATTTGATGTTGATGGCTCGGTAGGGCTCGACAAGACCAAGGTCGGCGAATACTTGGGGGAAGGACCCGAGGACAAGTACCCGTTCCACGCCCAAGTCCGCGACGCCTACGTCGGTGCGTCTCGGATGCGTGTCGCCGTATCCTGGTGCTCATATATAGGAATGCGACTAGGCATGTTTGACTTTAAAAGACGACCTTGGACCAAGCGCTGCGGCTGTGCCTTTCGAAATTCCGGCTCCCGGGTGAAGCCCAAAAGATTGACCGGATGATGGAGACGTTCTCGCGAGAGTATTATCGCCAGATCCAGCTCGACAATCTCGGTAAACTAGAATCAAAGAGGGCACGTCTGAGCCTATCGGTGGTGGTAGACCAGCCCCTCGCGGATGCCGACGCAGCCTTCATCTTGTCGTTCTCGATCATCATGCTCAACACGGATTTGCACAGGTACTTTTCACATACGTGATATCTGGTATTACGACTCACATGTGGCGACAGTGACCAGATCCAGCGCAAGATGACCGTCGACGAGTTTGTCCGCAACAACCGCGGCATCAACGCCGGACAAGACTTGCCGCGCGAGTACCTCGTCGCGCTCTACAACAACCTCCAAGCCAACCAGATCAAGATGCAGACCGACGTCTCGGATCTCAACACGGACGACGCGATTGCGACGGTGTGTTCAACACGACTGTATCGATCGTCGATCTAATGGGCGGTGTGTAGGTCGACCGGTACTCTGCGCAGTGGGAAGGCGTGCTGAAGCGCCAGCAAAACGTCGTCGGCGCGTCCTTTACTTCGAACGCGTCGGTCCTCAAGCTCCGCGCCGGTCGCCATGAGCGCGAGATGTTCCGCCTCATCCTCGACACGACGACATCGAGCATTCTCACGGCCTTTGAACGCACGGGCGATGAGAGCACGATGGCAAAGGCGTTGGACGGCATTGCAAGCGCGACCAAGATTGCCATCTACTTCCAGTTGGTGCCCGAGGTCAACAAGCTCATTGCGGCGCTGGCCGCGTACTTTGTCGAGTTTGCCCACGGCGTCATGAACGGCGAGCGGGTATTATCGATGCTGCTGGAGCGCCACATGTCTCATAGGACACTGCGTAGGTGCACTTGCCAACGGTGGACTCTGCGAGCAAGCGGGCCGCGCCGGCTCGGACAAGGGCGACAGCGTCCATGTGATTTTACGCGAAGAAGAGCGGTACCAATATTTCCAGCGGCTGTGAAAAATGAGGCCATGATTGATTGTGCACATGGCGTAGGCAAAGCGGGCTCAAGACGAGTCGCACGCTACGCACGCTGCAGCTGCTCTTTGATGTCGTCGCCAAGTACGCCGACTGCCTCCGTCAAGACGCCTGGACGTCGGTGGTCGAGTGCATCCTCATCTTCAACGAGCTCGACATTGCGCCGACATCGCTGGTCGAGATGGACGGTGCGCTCATGAACAAGCGAGGGTTACGGAAAAGATTGCGTAGATTTCGTCGACTCGCGGGGCGTGCCACTGCCGCCGGCCCAAGCCCACCTCTCGCCGCGCGCGCAACAGGTTGGCTGATACACTGATAGTTGTATGGCTCCATGGCGATGGCTAGTCGTTGGTGGCGGGTGTTTCGGGCAAGACGCGCGAGCGGTCGCGCCGGCTCGCCGAGCGCCAGGCCGCGCATCGCCAGCAGCGCAATCTGCAGCAAGGCGCGTTGAACGTTGTGGCATCCGGCGGGTTTTGGGACTCGCTGTCGTCGTACCTCTGGAGCGAAGACGACGACGACGTCGACCTCAACTACCCGCTCGTGAGCA